CGACATACAGACGTGTCGTCTCGAACTCACAGCGATCTGACAATCCTGCCTCGCGGGATTCGGATATTCGGATAGTACTAGTACTAGTACTAGTACTAGTACTAGTACTAGTACTAGTACTACTACTACGACTACTACGACGACGACTACTACACTACTGATATTATACTATTGCTGCAGTTGCTACTTCACGGTACTCTTGTTTGGGCCCGTGCATCACTCAATCAGAGAAGCTGTATGTTCCCGTCGCAAGAAGCGCATCAGACAAGAGAGCCAAGGAGCTTCGGCGATTACTTCAAAGAGGAAGCGATCGACTGGGCCTGGGAGCTCCTCACGGAGGCCGGGTGTGATGTGCCGTACCTCTGCAAGAAAGGGGGCATCTTGGCAATGCATTCTGGTCAGCTCTTGAAAGCTGAGAGCAAGGTCTACGGCCTGGACCCGAACCGTCTGTATGCCAGCTACTTCTGTGGCGATGAGGAGACCTTGAGCTGCATATGGTGTGGCTCTGGTTGGCCGACAGGATTCCCAGCCATGTACCGTGGTATGGCAGGGTTGCGATCCTGGCATCAACCCCCAAATCCTTGTAAATGACGCGACCCATGGCAGCGGCTCGAAGATGTTCATGCCAACGTCATTTGAACTCCAGCTCTGCTGGCAGGCTTTTAAATCTCATGCACGGACCCACTGTCTGTATTCTGGGTTAGCGGATGTTTCCGGGGTTTTTGTGTATATCCCTTTCATCGTTCCTTGTGATTTGCGATTCGTGAATCTGAGCCATTGACAAGGCTGGGCCTTCCTGCAGACGTCGAGGCCAAGGAGCCTGCCAAATGGTCTGTGTCTTGCTGCGCTGGAAAGGTCTGGAACAAAATAGACCGCAAGGCTTGACAAAATGTACCTCTTGAGATCGAAGTCGGTAATTGCCTGCGGAGGAGATGTGGGAGAAGCGCCTGCCACCAGAAAGAGTGCTGCCCTTCGATAGGAAGGACGCCTGGGGAAGTGCAAGCCAAGCGCTTGTTGCCAAAGGAAGAGGATCGAGTGCGAGAGAAGAGAGAGAATCCAGAGGATGGCTGTTTGACGGTCGTAGGGACGACGGGCCCCCGCACGCACACCCCAAGACACGCTCCATCAAGTCGTCTGCGCCCGAAGACTCGCACTTCCTGCGCCGACCGTGGGCCCGGGGGCGCGCTCGGCACAGGGGGTCTGCAATGCATCCAGGACGGAAGAAGAAGGGATGGCAGCAGGGTAGCCTTGTTGGTTCTGGCAAGCTGAATCAACTGGCGCTTTGTTCGAGTTGGGCCAGGGACGCTATGTCGCCATATGTACCGGAGTGGAAATGGCGCAGGTGCAGTTTCCGAAAACCCGCGAAGCGAAAGCCGTCTCAGTACACTTCGGGGCCATGAACTTTAACCAATACCCAGGACCAGCGCCAAATCGCTTCCTGCTTCAAGCAACGAGAGACTGGTTAACCTCCGAAGCCACGCCGCGAAACAACAAGCCGCATCGAACCGACGGCCGTCCAGGCGTTCGAGACGGTTACGATCGAATTCGGAAGTCGTTGCCTCCACATAGCAATGCAAGACTCTTCGTCGACTTCCGATCTCCAGCTACAGCTGAAGCGGCAGAGGCACGAAGTCTCGAAGTAATTCAATACTGCAGCGTCGCCAGCACCTGCTTGCAAGGACAACTTCTGGGAGATGGGTGCGACAGGCCAGCGAACGCCTCTTCTGTCGTTGTTTTTTTTTTAGAGAAAAACCTCCGAAACACCCAAGGCCATGCTTTGTCGGTAGCCAGGCTGAGGGCTTGAGGGACTGGGTTGGGGTGGGGTCAATCGGAGAGGAGCCAAGAGTCGTCGCTTTGTACGTCTACGTCGGAATGTGTTGGTGGCCTCAGTGCCAACCGTGAAGCATGCCCCCTTGCAGTCTGTAGACGAGGTCTTTTACGCTTATACGCCCTGCGCTGCAACGATTCAGTCTTCACTGCAGACAGCCACTTCCCATCACTGCGCACGGTCATACTTTGTGGCAGCGCTTGCATGCATGTTAAACAGAACCAGCTGGCCTTGTTTCGAGGCTTTTTGGATTGAGCATTGGGATATCGGCATGGCTTCGCAATAGGCAGTCCAGGGAGACCGTGCTGCCGCGAGCAGGTCCCTGTGGGCCGTGCTCCGAACTGCACTACGATCGCGTGGGTGGCCGTGATGCT